TTAAGAGTGTACACTAAATTCAATTTCCCATTGAATTTTATTAAGTATCTGCAAGATACCGCATAGTTGTTTGACTAAATTCTTCCTGCTTTGCCAGGAAGAAGTTTTACTCATTGAAAACTAGAAACTTAGAAAGATTAGTAAGTCCAATGGAGACATCAAGGTCATATTAAAATAATTTGTGAGTTTTTCTATTCTACTTCTGCGCTCTCATAGGACCAGCTTGACATACTATCCCTTTCTTTTATATATGCACATAAATAAACTTGTGCAAAATGTTAAAAGATGGATCACATCACCGAGGACTTACACTTTAGGGTTTGAAAAATGCAGCAGAATACCACACACTCAAAGCAAGAAGATATATTTCTAATATTCAGCAGAAAATTAGAATTTTTAAGCATGACTCATGTTTCTTGATTAAATCTTTGCAGTGTATGCAAACAATAACTTGAACGCTCAAGTATTTGATTTTCAGATTTGATTATCTGCAATGACAAAATACCTCAAATGATTATAGGTTTCCCATTTCAGACAGTTCTGTTAAGTATCATTAAATATTTTGTAAAATACTTTTTAGGTCCCTAAGTGGGTTAAATTTATATTATTCTACTATGAGGAATATTGGATAATTATTATCTGTTTATTGCCAACAAGAGAGTTAGTTCTTAGAAATAAAATTTTGGTTAAATTTTGCTGTACACTACTTCAAATACAAATTACCTGCATAGATTAAGACTTGGCTCTGTATATAAAAAAATTTCTCATTTGAAATTTTGGTAAGACACACATATAGAAAAAATAGAACTCTTAGAATAATTTTGTAAAATAATTTATAAAATAAAATGTTGTAAAATGCTGTAAGCACAGTATATAAGTAATGTTTCCTCCAATAAACATTAAAGATGCCGTTATAACCAGGCTTTCTTTAACACCCTTCTTTTTATTCTTTTATAACTTAAAAAAATGTTTTTCTATACCCAAACTGATCATATTTACTCAGTTTGCCCCCTCATTTATTTTAAAAAAGTATAAGGAAATATGCACACATGTTTTATTTATTTGAAGTTGAAATACACATACTTGTTCTATTTTAAGAGAAGACTGATGGTTGAAACATATCATTCCTCAGAAGTTTAATGGAAATATTTCCTAAGTATGCAATGAAGCCACTAATAAAATATTAATAAATGGAAAACTTATACTTGCTCAAAATTCATTAACTATTTTACAGCTCTATAGAATCATATAAAAATTTAAGACACGTTCTAACAAGCAAATAATCAAATAAAATGTTTTGATATCAAATATTTCCATTAATTTGCATTATTCTCATCTTTTTATCAAACAGCATGCACAAAATGGAGAAACAAACTTGGGGGCAGAAATTATGGTTAGAAAGATATTCACATAAGTGACTCAAAATTTAAGCTAGTATTCTTACCCTAGGAATGAAAAAAGTAAACACAGAGAACCTTTTTTCACTGTCCTCCATCATCGGGTAACCTCTACATTTTAGGGAGGAAAATGTTGATAAGCTTATTTCTATTTTCCGACGAATTATATGAATTCCAGATTCCTGGAAGTATTGACTATAGATACAATATATGAATTTAAATTCAGATAGACAAGAGTTCAACAACAAGCTCTTCCATCCTTATAGTATCTGCTTATTACCCCCAGTTTTCTCATTCATAGAACATGAATCATAATAATGCCTGAAAGCTAACATGAAGCATTCCAGTAAAGGATCTAATACAGGATCTGGCACATAATAAATGTTTAATAAATTTCATTACTATTTTATTACATGAGGAAAGATAACTTTAAAACACAATAATAAAAGCTATCTTTACTGGAAAATTACTAACATGCCAGGCACCGTATGAGTACTTTACATGTATTATCTAATTTAACCTTTATAGTATTGTTAACCCATTTTACAGATAAGACAATTATGAGAGAGCATCCTCTGGTCCACGTATTCCAAGGATACTATCATTTTGTAGTTCTTTTGAACTACTTCTAGTTTAAAGAGAAGATTGACATAAAAGAACACGTAATATCTCAATGTTAAAAATAATAATTTGGTGGTATTTCCTTCCACCAGATATTATCTTATTAGACATAATTTTTTCCTAACACTTTCTTGAATTAAGAATTCTATTAGATGGAATTATATAAATCAGGAAACCGATTACATTTTAAAGGTCTATTTCACTCTATGTTGATTTTAACAGATTTGGAGTTTGGCTTTTTTGTTCTACTCTGGCTAACATGCATAATTAGCTTGATTTGCTCCTGTAGTTTGACTTCATAAGTAAATTTAGATTTTATTTCTTTTAATTTTATTCTTTAATAAGAACAATGAAATCTTTAAATGCCCAAAAATAAATATTAACATTTCCAAAATAAATATGTAAAACAAGTATATATAAGCTAAACCTTAAATTCAATTGATGCCAAAATTTAAGCACTAATTTTAATATGAACACATCTGCATATGTGTATAAGCGAATGTTTGTGTGTGTAAGGCATGAAGTTTTGTTTGACTTGGAAAATGTATGATAAAAGTAAATATTAAATATTTGCCTTTATCATATACACATAGAGTATGTACTAATATATTAACTCTCAGACATCTATTTTTAAGAAAGAGAAATTTTGTGCAATTTATAGGACTTCTTCAAAATGAGAAATCATAGCAGTGAGTGAATTGGAATTATAACCCAGCAGTGGAGTCCAACAGCCAGATTCAAAAAAGTTTGCACAATTCTCAACCTGCTTCATTTATGAACAGAGCTGTAAGTATTGACTAAATCTCCAAAAACCAGGACTCAGCCTCAGTAAAAAGTCTGACTTTCAGTATGAACATAAATAGTGACCAGAAAGAAAATTTTTCAATGCAGTCAAAAGTTTGATAATATTGATAATATTATATAATCAGATATGTAGCTATTGCTAAAATACTTTTAAAAAAAGAAAACTGAAATTTCTAGTGTCATTGTTGATGCATTTGTGTCATTTCAAAAAACATTTTTAACAAAATATGTGTAAGTAAATTTTTTCTAAAATATTTCATCAGTAAATGTTTTTCATTCTTGAAAAATCAGATAATAGATTATGTAACAATATTATTCTCTTGAACTTTAAATTATTAGGATATCATATTTAAGATGCACATATACCTCTTAGCTTCATATATACACATGTTTATAAATTTGTATGAATATAAAACAATATATCTATATGAAACTAAAGGGATCTTGCAAGATGTATATATCTTGCAATCTTTTATATGTATATATCATCATTTTAATACCAGCAAAGAGAAAAATTCTGCATTGACTAAGGATTATCCTTGGTTCCTTAGATTTTAATAGATGAGCTTTAAAAATTATAAAATACCCAGAGTCAATATAAAATTTGTGTGTAATATTTTACACCTTTCTGTTGAATAGATCTACAACTTTCCCAAAGGTTAAAAACAACTATTCAAGACAAAAGAAAGCCACACATGATGGTGAAATAATGGGTGCATGCACCCTTCGTGTGGTATTCAGTTTTAAATCCCACCTTTCCCCAGGGCTGTGTAACCCTCTTTAAGTTTATTATCTCTGGGCCTCAGTTTCTCAATACCTAAAATAAAGATGAGACATATTTCAGAGGTGAATTTACCATGGAGTGAATAAAGTCTAAGTTCAGGGCCCTGGCAATGTGTTCATATGATCAGATATTTTTGTAGAATTTGCAACATTGTATTTTTTTTAATAGAGATATCCCCAATTGTGTTCTTCATACTCTATCAAAAGTGGATCCTTCTCTTTTTCACCTCAGGGGTTATATTGAGGATTAAGTACATGTAAAGCTTTAGGATTATGCCTAAAACACAGAAAACATTTGATTAATATTCATTATCATTATTATTATTAACTATAATAGGCAATTTGCTTCTTCCTATTGCTACATACAATTATTTCATATCTTCCATAGTATGTTAGGAGTGTTTAAGAAAGAACTTAGTATATTAACAGTTTACTTTCTACTCACATTTGGAAAGAGAAGTAGTATGAAACATAGTAATCCAAATGTTAGACTTATTAAAACATACTTAAGAAAGAGTAGCTTGTAAGACTTAATCAAGACCATATTTTTATTTTGGTGAAAAAATTCCCAAAACATTTAATCAGAGGAAATTGTGACACCACACAGAGTTAATTTGCCTTGTCAGGTGGCTGTTGCAAGAAAGAATAATTTGATAGTTGAACTCACCAGAAGTACACAAATCTTATCATAGCTATACAGAATCATCCAAATATCCAAGGATTTAACGATGTATACAAAAATGGCCATGCCAATTTCTGAGTCAAAGTTTTATAATTTGGGACAAATATGATATCTATTCTATATTCATAATATAAATCATATTCAGATGATATCTATTTTACTATTTATAATATAAATGCCTGCATACCTTTTAATCGCATACCTATGTTACAGATGTTATTTCTATAAATTATGATTAATTACACAAAGAATCACATAAATATTATTGACTTGTGGTTAGGTTAAGCACCACCATTTGAATTTTTCATTTTATTCAAACAAAAGCTATATGAACATGCACTAGGTATGAATAAAATTCACTTATATTTAAAATATTAGGATTTTAAATATTACCCTCATTGAATCATTTAGTTAATATAGGAATTATTTCCTTCTTGAAGATAAAACAAATTTAAGATAAAAACACTAATGTTAACTCTAGCAAGAGCTTAAATCCTGAAGCGATATTGATTTCTACACATATAGAATTGCTTTTTAAAACACTTTTAATGTGAGCAATATATATTTTTAATGTAATTTCAAGTCCTATTCAGAGAAAAGTGCTTGTCTTTCCTTTTCTAAGTCAAAAGTGAAATTGTTTAATGAATTAGCTGAGAAATAGTTTGAAAGAGAAAAACTGCTTAGTTTTGCTCTACTCAATATAAGTAGAAAAGTAAGTTCTTTCCAGGTAGTGAGTTGAATGGCCAAAATCACAGGGCCATTTCCTGCTTCACGCTGTGCCCATTTAGTAAAACAGAATTAGTCCCCACATTCTTAGCATTGTTTTTCAGAGATGTCATACGCACTGCAGAAGAACTGACTAAGTAGCTGGTTGATCTCTCTGGATAGGACTTCCTCCCACAACAGAGCTGGCTATTGAAATGCCTTCTGAAGCTTTCACTGAGTAGATAGAGAGCAAATGGATTGACACAGGAATTGCAAAAGCTCAGAACCCGGGCAACTAAGGTGACAAGCATGTGGCCTAGAGATGGGTCAATCTCTTTATAGTTGAAAGACCTATACATATAGAGGATGTGATTTGGAAACCAACAGAAGAAAAAGCAGCCCACGAAGACCAGCACAATTTTAGCCAGGCGTTTCCGCGTTTCCATCTGTAAATACAAAGAAATAGTTTCATTGCTTTTAAAAAAAAAAAAGCCTTCCAAGACGTTCTAATGGTCCCAGGCCCAAGTGGCAGAGAAGCTGGACATCACCAGTGAGATTTTACAGAGCTATAACATGACCCCATATTAGAGACCCCACCAATGCAGCTGCTTCTATTTCAGGCCAGTTCATGCTCCCTCTTACCCCCCCCCAGCCCCGCCCCCCCA